TTAAATTTTGACTTGAATCTTTGAAAGAAATGCTTATCAAAGGTCAACTCTGATTCTCTTGTTGAACTTGTTCTAAAATTTTGGTCCCTTTTGCAAGGGAAGCTGCAGTTTTTATTCAAGGGTCATTTAAAAAAAAACAATAGAGAAAGTGTCAAAGGGCCTTGAAATTTTCTTAGGCTGGTTACCTGGTATCTTTTGCCTGTAACTGATGATTTTTAAATCTTTGGTCTTTTTTTTTTTTTCCTATAGGTGAGTTGGCTAGCTTATAGGTGGGGGCTTATCACAAATACCATGGCTGTGTTTTAATAAATAATATTTAAAGCAAAAGCAATAAGACTGCTTTCTCTTCTTTCCACTTCTTATTAAACCATGCTTCATTAGGGGAGGGTTTGGGCCTTTTTTGTCCTCTATCACCATCGCCTAGGACAGGGTCTGTATGTCATCCAGTAGGGGCTCAGTTAAGATTTACTGAATGAATGGGCTGTGTTAGGTGCCGTGGGGAGGTCATTTTTGGCATGTATCACCCCAGTTCATGGTGACCTTTGTACTTGGGCTTTCTGGATGGCCATGGAATTCGTTTACAGCTCTGAGATGTAGCTGCTTCTAGAAAGTGAGAGAACTCGGTTCCTTCCAGTGTAGTTCCAGGGAAAGAACCCACCAAGACCTCATCATCTCCAGCTCCCAGGAACTCTCCTCAAACCGTACGTTGGATTTGCAGTCCATGTATGTGTGTGCATACTGGCCTAAGCACAAGATGGAACTGTGAGGAATTCCTCCATGTTTTGATAAATTGCTCCTTTCTTCTTTCTGCCCTTGTAGTTTCTTGGTAGGCCAGGGTGCAGAGGGGCCTCCAGCCTGGGCACATGGCCCAGGCGTGCTGGCAGTCAGTGGCTCATTGTTTCCTGCCCCTTATGAGGATGGACAGAAGACTGGGACTGGCACAGCTGCCTTCTTGGGGACCATTGTTTGTCTTTGCAGCAGCGGCAGCAAAAGCCTAAAGCCCTGGACAGAGCAGCCATTCTGTCTGGGAGCTGCAGGCCTGGGGATGGGGGTGGTTGGCGCCTCCCTTAAGAGTCTGTGCACAGGCTCTGAGGGTGGGAGCCAGGGTAGCTTCTCCTTGCAGGCGGGTTGCCGGGGAGGGGAGATGCTCAGGGGTGCCGCATCACACATTAACCACAGTGGCAGGTGGAGTCTATTAGCAGAAACTCCTTTTCCTGGATTGGAGTGGGGATATCACAGTCTCACTTCCTTCAGAGCTGCCCTGTAGAGTAGATCTAGGAAGCAGGAAGGGATCCAGCCCAGTTGTGGACTAGTCAAAACATGGGCTAGTTAGTGAGTCACTGGGCTACGCCAGACTTGACCCTGGGGTCTGAGTCATCGCCTCAGCTGGAAGGTGGGGAAGGGGACTCTCCAGGGGTGGGAGCCTGAGAAACAGTGATTTCCCCAGAAGTACCTCAGTGACTCCAGATTCTTGTTCTGTTTCTCTTGTTTCCCTGCCTCATTGTCAACCTCTTTGACAAGTCAAGGCAAACCTTCATTTGGCTTCAGCCCCACTTACACCTAATTGTGTGACATTTTGGTAAGTTACTTAACAAGTCATACTTCAGTTTTCTCATCTCTGGGCCATCAGGATAATTGGGGAAGCTTTATGGACATATTGTTAAGATTAAATGAGATAATATATCTAAAGGCCCATCAGGGGTATTCAGTAAACACCAGCTCTCTTTCCTTCGGTGGCCCAGAGGGGGTGCCTGAGGATGGGGTGCACTTTGGGTAACAGGACCCACTCACTGAGGCACCGGAGGAGGTCAGGGTGGAATTCCATGCTGGCTGGATGCACCTTGGGGCTTCTTAGATTGATACATGTATCTTAAAGGCCTGCTATGAAGAGCTTGTTCCTCGGACAGGACAACCATGGAGTGGTCTACCTCTGGGACTTCATGGGTGTCATGGAAATTTGCTTAGCCCCCTCTTTTTTTGGCAAAAGTGGGTATCACCTATTCTGCTGTGTTCTTTCTGCTCCCCTGGTTAGAGAAATTACCGAATTACAGGTAACTCAGAGAGGGCTGACAGCCTCATTGCCTATCCACATCCTCTTGCACATCTGTTACTAACTGGGTACCTGGAAAGCCTTTTTACCTTAAGATGCCCTGATTCTTATTTAATGGACAAGTTGTAAGTCATGTCAGTGAGCACTGTAAAGTTCCTCTCCACCCAGTCTGCCCACTCTGTGGCTACCACTGCCAGCTACTACTTCTACCTGTCAAAGATGGAAGAGGGACAGCTGCCCAAGAAATAGTCGCAATAGGGCTGTTGCCTTTAAGAGTCCCAGAAATCCCTGGCAAGAACCAGATGCCTGACATGCCCTCTGCAGATCTCTCCCCTCAATACCCTTGTAATCAGACTCCAAAAAAAACACAGAACAAGAGAGCTTTGATGAGTGATGAGGTAGGCGGCTTTTCTGAGCAGCCTTCTATCTGCTTGAAACAATCCTCCGGTGCTCAGTTTCAGTTCAGGTGAGGTTACTGCAGGCCTGGTTGGCATTGGTGGTTGGCACAGGGGAGGTGTGGGGGCGGGGGACAGAAGGTGAGAACTACACTTACAGATCACCTGAGATCACCCATAAGGGACCAGATACTTGTGCTCCATCCTTATACCTGTAAAAACAGAAACAAAAATGAAGATGGGGAGAGATTATGGGCCCCCAGCTTCTCCAAGGCAAATCTCAATGTACCATTTGCCCATTGTTTCATAAAAGGAGTGGTTGGCAGACATCGTGGGTCTGCTTCTGAGTTTATTTGTGTGTGTGTTTTTTTTAATTGAAGTATAGTTAATTTACCATGTTTCAGGTGGACAGCAAAGTGATTAAGTCATATATATATATATATATGTATATATATATATATATATATAAAACATAACATGTTATCTTTCAGATTATTTTCCGTTATATGTTATTACAAGATATTGAATATAGTTCCCTGTGCTATAAGTCGTCCTTGTTGTTTTATTTTATATATAATAGTGTGTCTGTTAATTCCAAATTCCCAATTTATTTCCGCCCCCCCTCCCATTTCCCATTTGGTAACCGTATGTTTGTTTTCTATGTCTGTGAGCCTATTTCTGTTTTGTAAATAAGTTTATTTGTGTCATTTTTAGATTCCACATATAAGTGATATCCTCTGATATTTGTCTTTTACTGTCTGATTTATTTCACTTTGTATGATAATCTTTGGTTCCACCCATACTGCTGCAAATGGCATTGTTTCATTCCTTTTTATTTCATAACCTTTTATATGCCACATATATATATACCACATCTTTATCCAGTCATCTGTCAGTGAGCATTTAGGTCCATTGCTTCTGTATTTTGGCTATCATAAATAGTGCTGCTATGAACATTGGGGTACATGTATCTTTTTTCTTTTTACTTTGCAAGGAAAGTATATATTTTTGCAAACATTTACACACCTTATTATATACCAGGCTACACCTGTTGACTACTTCAATAAGAGAGGTGAATGTATCTTTTTGAATTAGAGTTTTTGTCTTTTCCGGTGCCCAGGAGTGGGATTGCAGGATGATATAGTAACTCTATTTTTAGTTTTTTAAGGAGCCTCCATACTATTCTCCGTAGTGGCTACATAGCTTCGTTTCTCGATTTGCTTTTGCTTTAATTGCAGCTTTCTCGATTTGCTTTTGCTTTAATTGCAGCTCAGATGCAAACTCTAGATTCCGCACCCCCGATCCCATGCATTACAGAGCATAGGCAGAAACCCCACAACTCTACTGTTGGGGAATGGATTTGGAGCGTGTGTAAGGAGAGGCATAATAATACAGACACTCTTCTTCGTGGGATTGGAGTCACAGTCACAGCCTAAGGCATTGGAGCTGAGCAGGCTTGCGGGGTGGGGAGAAAAGGGGTGAAAGAAATGACTCCATTGTGACTCAGATGGGGATCGGGACGTCATTTCAGCGGGATATGCACTGCAAGCCTTCTCTGAGCTGAACAGCAGTCTGGCTCTGGCAGCTGCTTCCTGCGGGTGCCAGGTCTCGTCAGTAACTGATGCAGTATTGCATTTGCGGCAGATCTGGTTGTATCTGGAGCCTCCATTGCTGCAGTTCCACAGAGGGGGCCTGCTAGCCCTGTGGGAGGATTCTGGCTAGCCAGAAATCTGCCAGGCTAGCGCTCAACCAGAAATAGTTCTAGCTTTGACACAGCAGAGGCTCTGAGCATCGGCGAGGATGAAACAACAGAGATTTAAGTGCTGTTTGTTGGTGAAAATGTCAACTTCTTGAAGACTGATTTCCGTTCGGTGGTATTGGAAGCTGTGGAATCTGACTGACAGTGAATGGTTTGCTTGCCTAGAAGTCCGGGTGCTTGTTTCGTTCTTGATTTGCCATTATTTATTTGCCCTTGGGTAGGGCCCTTTCTGTCTCCCTTAAAATATCCTGACCCCTCGCCCTGCTTCATAAAGATGCAGAAAAACAGTTTGAAATCGTGGGAGAAAGTATGAAAAGTAGGGAGTTTGGGTCCTAAAGTCAAGCTTCCTGGGTTTGAATCCGAGCTCCACCACCTAGTAGCTTGGCTTCTTTAAGGGTCAGTTTTCTCATCTTTAAAATAGGGATGAAAGCATTACCTACCTACCTGAAAGATGGCTGGGAGGCTGTCTGCCAGAAGAGAGCCCAAATTTTGACACTGTGCCGGAAACACAGTAAATTGCTCAATAAATGAATATTATTGTGTCTGAAGCAGTTTCTCTTAAATGATTTAACAGATTCCTGGTTTCAGTGTTCTTTCAGGATCTGGAAAGACTTGGAGAGTTTTTGGTGGTGCCTCACATCACATGGCCAGTTTAGGTTTTTGTTTTTTTTTTTTGAATTAAAGGCTTTATGTTCCCCCAGAGGACAAGGACGAACTAAATGGAATGGGTAAATGTCGGCATTATGGTTTTTCCCAGGGGTCTCTGTCTGACTGCCTCACCTGGCTTTTGTTGCAGAGATCCGCGCTCAGCTCACGGAGCAGATGAAATGCCTGGACCAGCAGTGTGAGCTCCGCGTGCAGCTGTTGCAGGACCTCCAGGACTTCTTCCGGAAGAAGGCTGAGATTGAGATGGACTATTCCCGCAACCTGGAAAAGCTGGCAGAGCGCTTCCTGGCCAAGACACGTAGCACCAAGGACCAGCAATTCAAGTAGGGACTCTGTGGCTGTTACTTTTAGAGCTCTTGGGAATAGGGTCTGGGTTGGAGGGAGGCAGGGTTTGCTACTGGGATCCAATTGTATTTATGAAACCC